AAGAAAAGAAAGATGGAAAAGATGGGCAATTACAACAACAAACAGATGCAGATGAGATGCAGAGTTAGACGGGACTAGTTTTATCATCGGACGTCTGTTTTTGTTGAAATATAGTAGGTAACAAATTCCAGACATGACGCATTCGTACGGGATTAAGATCTCAGTAATCCTCCGCAGTTATTACAAATCACCAAAGGTCCACAGGTAAAACTAATCCCTTGCGAATATGGTTTAATATAGCAGAAAATAACTGCACAACTTTTTCTTGTCTCTTTACTACTTAAGCCTTATTCGCATGGGATTAGTTTTACCTGTGGACCTTTGGTGATTTGTAATAATTGCAGCGGATGCCTGAGATCTTAATCCCGTGCAAACCGGCCGTGTCTGTAATCAGAGGCGGCGCTACCATTAGGCAAAAGTAGGCGGCCGCTTAGGGCCCCCGGAACCTGGAGGGGCCCCCAAACAATTGCCCTCAGTGCCACTGTTGATCGAGGAGCAATTTGATTTTCTCTCAATATGACATTAAATGAGAGTAGTTTCCTTTTAAACAAAGAAAACACCATCAAAATATCTGATTGACAAATCTATTTTAACTGTCAAAGCATCTCCACTTTCACATTAGAACATTCTAGTCTAATATTTCACATTAGGCTAGTCGGCTTGACCCTGATTTGAACATAATCATAAGTAATGGATGTAAACAAAAATGTAATTGTACCAGCAAAAAAATAAAACTACTTTCAGCTCTGGTTATCTAGTAGAAGAACAAACTAATAAGACAAGTTTCCAATCCACCATAATTCAAATAAAGATGTGCGTTTTCATGAACAATGGGGAAAAATAGACAATAAATATAAAAAATACAACAAACAAACAACAAAACAGTGCATTATAGTGAGGCCCCCGCACTCAAGTTCACCTAGGGCTCCCAAATTTTTAACGCCGCCACTGTCTTGTAATTTGTAAAGAAAATTTATTATTATTATATTTTGCCAAACACAGACGTCCGGTGATAAAACTAGTCCCGTGCGAATCTGCATCTGTGTTTGTTGTCGTAATTTTCTATCTCTTTCTTTCCTTACCGTGTTCTTTTCTCTTTCTATCTCAGTCAATATCAGTAAAACGGAGTAATTTACGAATGTATGATCTTATCCCGTGCGAATGTGCTGCAAGTAACAGACGTGGGGCGGCAATTTGCAAATTACCAGACGTCCCCAAGTTGTGCTTATCTTGTGCGAAAAAGACATCGAATACAGATTTTCAGTTAAGGAAGCCACTATAATCACACCACATGACGTTTTACAGTATTACATCATATTTTCGTCAATAGTAATATACAAATAAAGTAGATATAAACCATACTTTACTGCATATATATAACTTAAAATATTGTAAATTGAAAAAGAAAAGGGTTTTACAGTTTAGGATAGTAACAACCAAAGAGAACCACTGTCTCCAAATGTGAAATTAATCTATTTTAACATTCAGAAACGCCTTATTGTTCGGAAAAAGTGTTAACAGATCAGTCATATTTACATTTGAAGATTATTTATTCTTACTTACATGGTTTTATTACCGCTTATGTGACTTGTGTGCACCAGGCTGGAGGTGGCTGGGACGTGCTGACCGCCCTTTTCTCTGTCACCTTTTTTTCTCTGTCAAGTTTGTCTCAGAACTGCAGAAGGCAAGAACTCCAAAAATGTCATGAAAAATATATTTATATGTCGAAATGAACACGTGTGAGACGGTGCATCTGCCGCTACTTGGTAATAAATGAAGTTGGGAGGATTTAAGAGGCGAGCAGATGGAAGCTCAATCTTGGTGGTAAAATACGGCGAGATAAAACTTCAACGTGATATACAGAAATAACAGCACAAAACAGATTAAATAAAGTCGCCTAGTAGCACTCTGCGGCAGTAAAAATGTCACTTCAGACCTCTAAAATAAACAAGGTATTTTATTTTATTGTAACTATGTATGTATTTATTGCCATATGCATAGTTTGTTCAGAGATACATTTGCATACATAAAAAAAATTATAATAAAATCTGAATATTGGATAAACATATACTTGAAATATTCTGGTGTTTGCTTAATGTTACATAAAATTTTACAAGGCTATTTTATGATAATTTCTGTTACATTTACAATAACTCCTAACCTCACTGGAGACACGAAACTATTTAATATAAGAAGTAGAAGAAGTTTATATTTATTGTATTATGTGCTACTTTCTGTAAATGTATTTTTGTGGGTATTGCACCACAAAGTGAAAAATTCTTAAAAGAGAATACAAAATAATAGAATAAAAGAGAATAGCGTCTCCACAGAATAAAAGAGAATACAACCTGTCATGTAACAGTGCAAATGTAATTCCTCATTAAGCCATTAGTTGTCCGTAGTAAAAAGAAAAGAAAAAGAGAGGAAAGAAAGAAAAAAACTGAATGAAATATGTAGTATGATTGAACCTAATTATCATAAATTTCTGCAGAAGTTTGGCAACAGATGTAACATAAGAAATATGTTTACATCTATTATCTACAACTTTACATTTCTATTTGAGAGTATTATACCACCACAGGAAAAGAAAAACATCAAAACCTGCCACATACCCATTAAATAGTGGAAAAAACAAAACAAAAACAAAAAAATAACACAGTTAAATATGCAAATGACAGGTTAGATCTCACTCATATGTCATAATCTTAAGATAATTATCACAAATTTTCTCCAAATCTTTGAGGTTTCTCTAGTTCGGCAACAGATGTAACATAAGAAGTCTGTTACTATGATCTATTACCTACTACTTTACATTTGTATTTATGAGTATTACACCACCAAATGAAAAAAAAAAAAAGAAAAAGAAAAGAAGAAAGAAAAAGAGAAACATCAAAACCTGTCATATGTAGCACAGCAAATATAATTCCTTATTCACCCACTAGTTGTGAATAGTAATAAAAACAAACAAAAGAATAAAACAAAACAGACTCAAATATGCAAATGACAGGTTCAGTCTTATTCACACATCATAATTGTAACATAATTATCAACATTTTTCTCCAAATCTTTTAAGTTTCTCTAATTTGGCCGCAGATGTAACATAAGAAGTCTGTTACTATGATCTATTACCTACTACTTTACATTTCTATTTATGAGTATTATACCACCAAATGAAAAATCCTTAAAAAAAGAGAATAAATGAAAAAGAGAACCATCAAAACCTGCCATAAATAACATTGGAAAAGTTATTCTTCATTCACCCGTAAGTGGTCAAATAAATAAATAAATAAAAAAGACTCAAAGTGCATATGGTAGGTTTAATCATGCCCGTACGTTATAATCCTAACATAATAATATTCACAAACTTTATCAAAATCTTTGAAGTTTTTCTAGTTCAGCAGCAGATGTAACATAAGAAGGATGTTTATATCTATTATCTACTACTTTACATTTGTATTTGTGAGTACTATACCACCAAATGATAAATCCTTAAAGAGAATGAAAGAAAGAGAGGCACCAAAACCTTTCCTTTACAACACTGCAAACATAAATAAGATCTCAAAATAATCTTAGCATCGTCAATACACTCCAAACCCTTAATTTTCTCAAAAATCAACAGTGCGCCTTATAATCCAATGCGCCTTATGTATTAATTCTGGTTGTGCTTACTGACTTCGAACTGATTTCAAGTGGTACACAGCGCTCAAAAGTCTGTCAAAATGTTTTAGTACAACTTTGGTAAACTACGAAGCTGCACCTCTTGTCGGAGCATTATGGCAACTGTAGTCAGGAGCCTCGAGGAGTTGTGTCATTTAGTCTGACAGAAGCTGAACCACATCAGGAGCAAGCTGTTTTTTTTTTTTTTTCCAGCTCTTATAGTTTATGCAAATGATCCATGTGGTTTTAAGTTTCGCTTCTGTAAAACGTAAACAAATGTGTGCAAAGCTGAATTAAACACATTATTACTCAATGTATATTTGAGTCGTCCTCATAGGAAACAAAAAAAGTCAGTTTCACATAATGCTCTTGATAATCCGGAGTGTGTTATGTATGAAAATAGACGAGAGAATTCAACATTATTCATATTGCACCTTATAATCCGAAAAATACGGTATATCACTTCACTTAGGGACGTAGTATTATACCACCAAATGAAAAATCCTTAAACAAGAGGGAAACACCAAAACCTTTCCTTTTCAACACTGCTTCAAAATGAGATCGCAAAATAACCTCAGAAACGATGTCAATACACAAAAAAACTATATAGCACTTCACAAATGAGCATAGTATTATACCACCAAATGAAAAATCCTTAAAAAAGAGAATGAAAGAAAGACAGAAACACCAATACCTTTCTTGTACAACACAGGAAACGTAAATAAGATATCAAAATAATCTTCGCAACATCAATACACTCCAAACTATATAGAGAGAAACAACAAACCCTTTCCGCTACAACACTGGAAACATAAATGAAATCACAAAATGACCTCAGAAACAACGTCAGTACACTCCAAACTATATAGTATTTCACCGAAGAGCATAGTATTGTACCACCAAATAAAAAATCCTTAAAAAAGAGAATGAAAGAAAGACAGAAACACCTAAATCTTTCCTTTACAAACACTGCGAATATAAATTAAATCACAAAATAACCTCAGAAACAACGTCAGTACACTCCAAACTATATAGTGTCATAGTATAGTAGTGTTGTAAAGTATAGAAGTATAGTATGCCTTGCCTTCTGCAGTACTCTGAAAGAACATGCAAATATATTCACACATTTAGTTCCTGTCTAAAAGGGTGGTCGTGACTAGGAGCCCGTCCCCGGATGGTGGCCCAGAGCATTGCTTGGTTGTCTGCAGAATGTTCTTTGAAGGATGTAAAATGTTTTTTTTTTCTCTCTCTCTCTCTTTTCTTTCTCTCTTCCTTTCTTTCTTTCTCTCTCTTCTTCCTCTTTTGGTTTGATCTCAACATTTCGCTCTCTCTCTCTCCGCCAGATTGTATCAGGATAGACTGTAGCCTCAGTAAGTGCTCCTATGCATTTTTATGACTCTAATGTACCTGTCTTTCTTGTGCTGCTTTGATAAAGTGGCCCTTTTCGGGGAGTTTTATGACATTTTACGCCAAATCATTTCGTTCCTCCTCCATCCATCTTTCCGTGTCCTGTCTCCGGTGATTTCGCTCGGAGTCACTTTAGGCCGCGCAGTATATTGGAAATGCCGGCGTTCTAAATAAATGTGATAGAGGTGTTCTGTTGAAGCGATATTACAAATGATCTTTAGGCAAACAAGAGAAAAGCCAAACAGACACAGGTTTAAACTGCAGTGAATTCACAGTAGTAATAAAAAAAAAAGACAGCTTAACAGTAGAGTAATAGTAGAGGTAATTTCTTAGTTGTTTATATTTTACTTCTAGATTGTATTTTGAAGGATTTACAAGCATTTTTACTCTGACTCGTAGAACTTATAAAGTATGTAACTTTTTTTGCCCCAAAAATTTACTAAAATCAAAGTGTGTTTTTTCCTTGTCTTAATTGCACTGAAAATTAGGGAAAAAAAACATGTTCGTCCTGGATGCTGGTTTGCATCTCCACAAACCTGACCCCTTTGACTATAATATTCCACAGTGTGGTATAAAACAGGGGTCACCAAGCTTTTTTGTCCAAACTCCTGACTGTGATGGGGAGCTGAGGTTGGGTCGGCCGTATAACAGAATTGTACAACCCTGACCTCAGTGACCAGCAGCAGGCCTCACTGTGTAATAGAAATGACTCACCTGGCACAGACATCCACAGTACTATTTCAACACATAATTCATGGCACATATTTGTTTATCATTACTAGTGGTCCTGACTAGTGTCCTTAACTAGTCCTTAACTGCACCACAGCACTCTGACTCTGACTGTCACTGTTTGATCTCGAGTTTGTCAGGTGTAAATATGTCATATAATTATTTCAATATAAATACTTCATATAACTATAACACTTTACTTGAAAAAAAAAATCTACAAAATACATGCAGCCGTGTTATTATTTGCCCAAAAGTAATTAACGATGAAAACTTTTGAGGATTGCCTCATAGGTCCAGTTCAAGTGGTGGGGGGCAGAGGGGCTGGGGGGCCGGTCAAAGGGGCGTGTAGGGCCGGAGTCGGTCCCCAGGCCTTAGTTTGTTGACCCCTGCTATAAAACTTATCTATCTCCATTGAGAATGTCCTGAGATATGGTTTTCGCATTTGTATTCCCATGGAATCATGCAGCCACCTCCAGAAAGTTACATACTGTACCTTTAAATTATACATGTTTGTGGAAGCTCAGTGGTCAGTGCTCACTCCGGAGTGAAGCACTTCTGAGATTTAAACCACTGTCACTCTCACTGAAGTGGATTAGCTGTGTAGAGCAGGCAACTCGAGCACTTAAGAAACAAGAAATGCAACTGTGCAAACTATAAAAATAATACTGCACTGACAATTAACGTCTGACCGATTATAAATGTGAAACCAAATCAAATACTATGTTGAAGTGAACGTTAAAATTGCATTTTTGATTGAAAATTGGAAATAATTTTCAGTTGTAGTTAAGGTCAAGTTAGCTCTTATACACATTAACATACAGTTCATGGCATTTCGTAGGAAGGTTACGCTTTTATTTTGGTGACTTCCTGTGTGAGCGGAAGTGACGCTAAAAACGTTAGGCGCAAAGTAAAGATGGTTAAAAGCAAAAACAATGGTGAAAAGTTATATAAAAACGTAAAGCCAGCAACAGTCGACACGGGAACACAATTTTATTGAGCAACTTGCAATTTGTATTGAATTAATGTTAAAATAGCGGTTTTGTTCACAGCAAGGAAAAGATTAAGTCGTTTAACCATTAGTCCTGTCCTTCTCAATTCGACTGGATGCTACAGCTTTATAAATTTATTGTTTAAGGAATGTTTAACGTAACGAAAAAGGTAATAAGTTCAATCTTGCTTGCATTTCCGTACTGCGCAGCTCATATTTCACTCACAAACTAAAAACGCCTCGTATTTAATAACCATGTTCTCGTTGTCTATCAGTCTCTCCTCTGTGTTTCCATTTCTACCTCTACCTTAAAACGATCCTCATATATTTTTCTCCTTCACACAACTCGGCCCCTTTCATTTTCCCGTCAATCACCGCTCTAAAAACATTCCCCGAAAAGGGCGACTTGACACTCCCATGTCGAAACGCTCCCTTTCTGTTTTCTACTGTGTTGATTCGCGGCTCTGTTGCGACGCATAACCAGGTGGTGTGTGTTTTCTATGCGGGACAAACTCTAAGCTTTGGCCCCTAGAAAGCTAATTGCGTATCCGCCGAGAGACGCTATACCACCTGGCGCGCGCTTGTTTAGCCGCCGAGCTAATGTTTTCCTACCCCATGCTGACAGAATGATAGCAAACGGTTATTTCTATGGCGACCGCTGACAATTGAACGAGCGGCCCGCAGGTAAGTGCTGCCCGGAGCGGTGACAGAGTACAGGGGAAATGCATGTTTGTGACTCAGGGTTTCATTTGAATGAGGAACTGGGTTTGGGAAACTCTGAGCGATTCAGGTTCCAAATAATACTTTTAAGGTGTTGTGTATGAGGAAATGGAACAGACTAAAGCAACGTAAAGCTGTATTTAAGTTGTTTTCTTTGTGATATTTACGAGATTTAATAATATGGCGCATTTGCAGTTCTGTTTTCAGACTGAAATTTGCTTTAAACAATCTTTTTTGCACCACACGATATACAAATGTTAGTTTTAGGACATTTTGGGACATCCATAGTTTTTTTTTTTTTTTACAGTTCTAATCAAAAATGTGATTTGTTGTGTGTTTCAATTCACACACAACAAAATCTGTCTTCACAAATATGCTATGATGGTTGTATCAAGTGTCAATATTGTCTTTGTCACGGTTAGGGATGGGCATTCGATTAAAATTTTCTTGATCAATCGTTGAGAGAATTAACGATCGATTATCGATTCATCATTAATGTTGTTATATTAAAATGATCATCATTATTATTACTATCTGCACTGCTAATCTGCATAAATAAATTCAACTTTACGACATAAACCGTAACCACTCTAGAGCCACATCAGCCCGTTTGACATTATAATGTGTTTAATGCAGATTTGCACAAATCTCACAGAAACAAAACTTAAAACCGCATGGCTAATTCGCATAAACTAAGCGAAGAAAAAAAAAAAACAGCTCTTGTGCGCTGATGCGGCACGACTCAGTGGAATACAGGTTAGTGTGACCATATTTGTGTTTGTCAAAACCTCGACACCGTACGGGGGGAGGGAAGGTGGGGCCTCGTCATTGACACTGAGTTTCTCTCACCTGGCAAAGCTTTTTCATGTTTTCGGTGTCCTGGTGAGATTTTTTTCCCATTGGACACCGAAACAGAGGTGCCTGTTTTATACACTGTGCACATGGACTCACACTTTTTCCGACCGGAACGGAAAGCGTGGAATTTCTTGTACAAGTCGTTGTCAAATACGCATTTGCGCTTCGGCACATTGCAGACTGACCAACTGTTTGTGTCTCACTCCTTCAGAGTGCAGAGACACATGTACAGACCCCTGTTTGTCCCCGGACATGGATGTTTGGTCACGCTACTCTACGCACAGCAACCTACATTCGGTTTGTCGATTAAAATAAACGTAATCGATGAAATTCTTAATGATCAATTATCGATTAATTGACTAATCATACCCATCCCTAGTCACGGTATGAACCTCACAGTACGATATTTATACGATATTATACATAATAACAAGACTGACATCATAAAATGCTTTGACCAGTCATTTAGTACAACGTTTATTGTCATATTCTAGGGATGTAACGATATCCAAATCTCACAGTACAATATTTATCTCACGATACGATATTTATTGTGATATTTTAATGAGCTACTAATTAAAGAGGGGACACATTTTGCTTTTAAAATACCTTGACAAGATTTTGGTGTGAATTATTTCCGTCATAATCCCAAGAATTCAAGTAAAAAACACGTTTCTTCATGTTGTCTGCGCTGAAATGAATCATGGGATATGTAGTTCTCTGTGTTTATAAGCTGTTACTACTATAAAACCATGTATTTAAGGAAAGGAACTTGTAATTCTATACACTGTGACAGCCCACGATATTATTGTGAGACTTTTGATGATACGATATCACGATATTTCGGTTATTATCAATATTGTAAGTGTTTCATTTGAAAACACACACAGTAATATTCTCCACACTATTATTTGAAAAACAAGGACCATTTTCATTATATTAGTCTCTTAGCAAACATATTTTCATTTGGAAATCACAAAACAGTCCACTTTACTCTGAAAGATGTTTTAATATTTAATTCAATCAACTTGCAGTCTTAGAGTTGTATGGGGGCGTTTTAATTCTGAAGGACGTTTTCTCAACATGCATTTTTCTTTCATAGGGACATGAGGACCAGTCCTTATAAAGCAGGGGTCACCAAACTTTTTTCTCTGGGGGCCACATTATCACTCCTGATGGGAGTCTGGGGGCCGGGGTCGGGTCGGTCGTATAACAGAATTGTACAACCCTGATGACGCAGATTATATTCTTTGAAAACCTCCACGCTTTCTTTTACATTTCAGACAAACTGCACGTTGCTCACAATGAACAAAACAATGATCGGTCGTTTGCTGTTCTTTCAAAACTCTGCACTCTTTGTCAACTTTTCGTACTTTAACACGAGACATTTTGCTGTTCTTAATGCACTACAGAACTCTGCTCGTGCATCGACTGTCACTGTTTGATCTCGAGCTTGTCAGGTGATGAAAATTCGGCGGCAAATGTGAATATGTCATAATTTCATAATTATTGTCATATAAATAAAAATACTTCATATAAATATATATTTTTTTAAATTGAAAAAAATAAAAAATATCATCAAAATAGAAGATGCAGATGTGTTATTTGCCAAAAAGTAATTTTAAAAAATAGGCCATGACAACTTTTGAGGATTGCCTCATAGGTCCAGTT